TATATATATATATATATATATATATATATATATATATATATGTATATATATATACTATGTATATATGTATATATTGTACATGTATATGTATATATACTATATATGTTATATATATATATATATGCATATATATACGTATACGTATATATATATATATATATATATATATATATATATATATATATATATATATATATATATATATATATATATATATATATATATATGCATATATATATATGCATATATATATATGCATATATATATGTATATATATATGTATATATATATGTATATATATATGTCTATATATATATATGTATATATATATTATATATATATATATATATTATATGAGTATTATAATATCTAGCTATATCTATATAGTCTCTATATATCTGTATCCTTTTATTCGGCTAGATATAGTGTCTATCTATATGTTATAATCTGTCTCTATATATGTATATATATATCTTATCTCTATCCTCTCGTATATATTGTATATATCTACCTACTAGTGCCTCGATTCTATGTCTATCTTCTATGTATACTATATATATGGATAGTATCTCTATGTATATATATCTCTTGTAATGATATATGATGTATATTCTATTATTATCTATTAATTATGTATATATTTTATACTAGATATTGATATATCTCTACCTCTCTGTATCATATATTTATCTATTATATGTATAATCATCTGTATATATTCTATAGCTATTATCGTATAATATATATCATAATAATATATCTATATCTGTATAAGTATCTATGTCTGACTAATTAGTATATATCTATATATAATATATATCTTCTATATATATCTCTATCCATTCTATATCATATGTCTATCTCTCTGGTCTATATATATCTTCTCATATCCTAGCATATTCTATCTTATCTATATCTTATATCTATCTATCTCTATCGTACTCCTCTATCTCATTCTGTCTCTCTCTCCTGTCTGTCTTCCGATATCTCTGTCTCATATCTCTGTATCATATCTATTTCGTATCTCCATCCATCTACACCCCTATCTTCTTCTCGCTCTCTGATATATCTCTATCTCTCTGTATCTATCTCTCTCATCTCTCTATTTACATATCTATATATATCTTCTCTAATTATATCTATATATATATCTATCATCGATATATATATATCTATATCTGTATTTCCTCTATAGATATATCTTTCTAGCGCGATATATCATCATATATAGATATTATTTATTGTCGATTATATTTTCTATATAGCTCTCATTTTATATTAGATATGATTCAATTTTTATCTAATATCTAGCTATATAATTTATATTAATATATAATATAGATTAAGGGTATACATTTATATTAGCTATAGATTACATTTATATATCGATATCGATATCATTTATAGATAGATATAGATATACCCTTCTATCTATAGATATAAGATATATATTATCTATATAACTATATATTTATATATTTTATATTACTCTATATATTATCTATATCTATATATATGATATCTATAATATCTGCTATAGCATTTTATATATTATAATTTGGTATTTATCATAAATAAATTTAATATAATAAGTCAATAAATCAACTACATAATAATAAATCCCTATACATATATATTGAATCAGTTATAATTTATCCGTAAATAATCAATAAATAACTATATAATAATATATTATATATATCTAATCTAATATATTATATATATCTATATATAATTATATATATATATATAAGATATATGTATATA